GGGGGGGGGGGGGGGGAATTCGAAAAGTAACAAAACTAATCAATGAATTAAAATTTAATTATTGGAAATTAACGTATGAAAAAATCGCATGGAAATTTTCTTTACGATTAGAAATACATGAATATTTTCTATATGAATTATTTCTATACATAAATTATCACATAATGTTTTGTTTTCATACGAAAGATGTCTAAACGCTCCAGAGAAAAACATCCGGAAATATCGCAACTCCATACGAAATGTTTCTATACATGTGGCAGTGAGCCGTATAGGATCAATCCTATGGAAATCATTTAGAAACAATTTATATAAAAAATATCCGTACAGAAAAATTCCATACGATTTTTTCATACGTGCATCCACGGACGAAAAAATTCAATAGAAAAACCTATCGAATTCGTTAGAAAATTCTATTGAATTTCTATTGAACTGTTCTATTAGTTTTTGGCCGATTCTATTGAAATGTTGAATAGAAAATATTCAGTAGAAAAAGTCAATAGAATTCAATTTTTCTATACAACTTATTCTATTGAGATATTTTCTATAGAATTTCCTCGGCTCAAATTTTCCAAGTTTTTTCGTTTGATTTTCTTGATGAGAAGGAAAGAAAAATAGAATGAAAAAAACTTGGAAAATTTTGAGTCGAGCAAATTCTATAGAAAATTATGAAAAGAATAAGTTATATAGAAAAATTGAATTTTGACTTTTTCTATTGAATGTTTTCTATTGAACATGTCAATAGAATCAGCCAAAAACTAATAGAAAGTTTAATAGAAATTCAATAGAATTTTCTAACGCATTCGATAGATTTTTCTATTAATTTTTTTCGTGCGTGCCATTGAATGACGGAAATTGATCGATTGTTAACCAAAACTTTCCCTCCGAAATCATCATGAATGCGTGATGCATTATTTGCTGAAGAGACGTTGCAAAAGACAAGTTCGTTGACAGCTTCGATCGCCGCCATATTGTCATGTATACATCCGCGAGACAATATAGGACGGCATCGGAGGGCTACAGCAGTTGCTGTTAGATAACATATTCTCCAACAATTGCATCATCGGTCGGGTCGTAATTACATCCCGTTCGGGGCAATATCGATTCCCCTCGAATCTTTGTTTATGGGTTTCCGTGGAGGAATGGGGGCAGAATAGCGTGATGGGTGACATTACGTGACTCGGCAATTATGGAGAGGATTACGTTACCGGGGATGTAAGTTCGTCTCTTCGTGAGGGCGCAGGGGATGTCGCCGTCTTTCACATGCATTTTCTGGAAGGGTTGAGGGATTTATCGTGACAATTTGTACCTGGCGATGATGGTTTATTTAGGTTTCATTATCTTCGTGGGGTTGATTACCATCTTTCATCTATTTTTATTTATAGAATCGCATATAAAACAAGTGGGCAATTGCATTTTTTAAATAAATGAGTATAGTTATTGCTGCTAATATGTTAGCAATTTGATTTGCAATGGGTTTTCGTTTTTCAATTCTTATTTCACTAGTCTTTTCTTCTATTTTTTGATGTCACAGTACTGTCGTCAATTGAAATGTCATCAACATTTTGCGTATTATTTCGTTCTGTTAAATAATTCTACATTCAGACCCTCTCAAGACTCGAATTCGTTTTCAGTCCGGGGTTAATCGAGGTTCAATCAAGGTTTAATCAGTGTACAGCCGGGATTTAATCAGGGTTTATTCAGGATTTAGCCGGAGTTTAACCCAGGTTCTGTCAGAAGTTAGTCGGAACCATGAATCAATATGAATAAGTATTCAACATAATAGACTGCTACCTGAGTTTAATAGAGATAGAGATTTTGACATAAAAAGCTCATGACGGTATTGTGTAACTTGATAAGCAATGACGCTGTTCTCACCATTTTTCAAATTGATTAAGAAGCCATTGAAATATACTTTTCAAGCCCTGATTTAATTGCTGCTACTGATGATTCTTTCAGTAATCATGATAAAACCCATTTTCTCTTCCAAATCGCGTAAACAATGTGCTGTAACTCAACAACAAATTGTGCAACCCCCACCATAGTCTGATAGAATTAAGAGGGTATTGTTATCAATTTGTTGAGCCATGACTCATTCAATTTTGATGACAATTTTTTGAGTGACGAGAGATGTACGCGCGCGTATAGTTTTGCATGTGGCGCTATAATATGATTTTTCATTTCGTTTTATTGTATTTAGAAAAAAAGAATCTATAGATATATCCGAATAAACCGGTGACAATAAACGTTACATTGAATTTTTTTATAATGGATCGTTGAACAATCGATTTTTGGAAAAATATCAATTTTTCCAAATCTGTATGAAAAATTGAATTTTAATTTGTGTCGATGAATGGCGCTTATTAAAGTCTATATTCTTGAGAAAAATCATGAAATTCGATTGATCCGTTATAAAAAATGAAGAAAAAAGACCACTTACATACAAACACCATTTAAAAACCGCATATTCACATTATTATTTGGCTGGAAAAAGTCAATAGAACTCAATATTTCTAAACAACTTATTGAGATAATTTCTATAAAATTTCCTCCGCTCAAATTTGACAAATTTTTTCCATTCTATTTTTCTTCGCTTGTCATCAAGAAAATCAAACAAAAAAACTTGGAAAATTTGAGCCGAGGAAATTCTACAGAAAATATCTCAATAGAATAAACTGTATAGAAAAATCAAATTCTGTTGACTTTTTCCATAAAATATTTTCTATTTAACATTTCAATAGAATCGGCCAAAAACTACTAGAAACTTTAATAGAAATCCAATAGAATTGTCTAGCGAATTCCCTATGTTTTTCCATGAAATTATTTCTACTAATCTACCTGCAATTTCCAGTGTGAATCCTAAAACACCCCATTTTCTTACCCCCGTAATCTTCCCACTCAATCGTCCCTCACAGCAGGTCACTGGGTCACCAATTCCATCCCTCTTCATTGTCCATAAACAGTGAATGGTTTCTTCTCGGAATACCCAGTAATGCGAAAAACCAAACATGTCCCTGAGACAAAGAAATCCGGGAAGAGTGAAATTTTTTCGTTTTCATTATTTCAGCACCAGTTACCAGCATGCTTTGTCAGAAGTACAGCTGTCGGGCTGTTGTATTCATCGGTGGACTCTTTTGTACACTTGGTTTGACCATCAGCTATTTCGCAACGAATTTGGTTCATCTATTCTTCACGTTTGGTGTTTTAACAGGTATGTAATCATCAAAGATATATAAGCAATTTGGCTATTTTTCAAGGCAAGTTGGGTAGTGATTGTGGCGATTGGGAGGGACTTCAATCACTAACTTAAATGAAGTAGATGAACTCCAGAAGATATTGTTTATAATTTTTATTCTAAACGCCTCAAGTGTACGAATATTCACAAGAATGATTATGATGCGAAGTTTATAGAGTGAATATAATACACTGCATTACCCTGTCGGCAGTACACAGTAGACAGAAAAGGGAAAAGAAGAATACCTTATTTCAATGTACTCACACTGATAGACTGATTCATTTATTCCAAACGAGATACGTTAACTATTAACGAATTGCAGAGTTGAACATGACCAAATGAATATTCATCAATACTTAACGAATGGTTCACTAGAAAAGCGAAAATCGAGTCAACCAGGGCTCCTGAAATGTGGATTTGTTAACTATTAACGAATGAACATTTGGCGAGACCGAACAGACCCTCGTCTGCAACCAAATCCATTCGTTAATAATAACTAATGCTTTCTATCAGTGTATAAATTAAAGTGTATCGAAATAAGATGACGCGCCCCCTCCCTCCAAAAAAAAAAATTAATCCCTAAAAAATTATCACCAGGAATTGGCGGTGGTCTCTCCACAACCCCCGGAATAATAATAGTATCCCAGTACTTCGATAAACACCGCGCCCTGGCGAACGGTATCTGCGTGTCAGGAACGGCGGCAGGAAGCTTCGTATTTCCCCTCCTGATCGAGACCCTAGTCGCAAATTTTGGATTTCACGGAACGATTCTCCTTCTGGGTGGTTGCATGCTGCACGTCTGCGTCTCCGCGACCCTCTACCGTCCCCTGGAGGACAACCCCTCAGCCATGGTAATGACAGTGAGCCCAGGCATCATCGACACCATATCAGAGACGCCCCCCACCAAGCAGCAGAAGCTGGAACTTCTCTTCGCGAATGATTCCACGACACGGCACAACCTCTTCAACGAGCTGTTCCACCAGAATAGTGTAGCTGCTGTTGAGCTAACCGACAGCGAGGAAGAGAAGGACATCATGGGCGAGGGAATGAGAATGAAGCCAATCTCGAAAATAAGAAGTTCGAGTATTCTTCACAGCGTTGAGGATCTCTCAACCGATTCAACTTGTGTTTACAAAGCGAGATCTTCGTTGAGATCACTCAAGTCGTCGGTGCCCTTTGTCAATGGCTCATTACCCACTAAAGACCCTGAACCCATTGATCTACCCGACAAGGAGAAGAGGAGCAGTGTCTCACAGAAGATAGCGCAGTACATCGATCTGAGCTTGCTGAAGAATCCACAGTTCATCATGATGTGTCTGTCTGTTACTCTGATGAGCACTGGCAGCCCTTACATGCTGTATTACCTGCCAGCTTATGTCCATAATTCTGGGTATTCCAAGTCAGAGGCTGGCTATCTTGTTGCTATCTCTGCTGCTTTGGATCTTTGCGGAAGACTGGGACTGGGGTGGCTATCAGATCTACAGTTGTTTGATCGACGAAAAGGGTATATTGGGAGGTAAGTCAATGCTCATTGTATTTTACATTGAAGAAGGGAATTTATGTAGCGTTCCACGTGTTTGTGACTTCGTAGGAAATTGTTGCGTGGGATTTCGATGGAATGCGTAGTTCAAGCCGGTGTTTGAACCCGGGACCTTCCGATTATGCATCGGATTAGTTTATACTATATTATTTTATTCTTTTCGCCTTTTCCGTCCTCAGGATTAGATTAAGTTGATTCGATTCATTCTTATTCTTGATGAATATATTTTCGGTAACTGTAAAACTGCACCTTCAAATATCTTTTCGAGTTATGAAAGAATACCCATCAATTTTTAGAAGGGGCTAATCGGCTAGAAAATGAAAAAAATTGTTTTTCTTCATTTGCGTCGTGCTTTCCTATCGTAAAAAGGAGAAAAGAAATCGATCTCGAAATATCTCGAAAATCTCGAATAAGCGTAAGCGTAAGACTGAAACCGAAGCGGCCGATCTCGTTTCTTCAAATAGAGGAAGTATATGAATATTTTCAAGTTTTATGATCTCATTTTAACGAGAAAAAATGGAAAAAATGCAAAATAACGTGGGCGGGAAGAAATAAAAAATTCAATTTTTCAATGTCTCCGGAAAGTTTTATAATCGATATATTTCTTCGAATAACGAAGGAATACCCATGAATTCGATTTCTATCCTTGTCTTTCGATAGAATAAATAGAAGAAATGACCAAAATTCAGAATTGGAAACTGAAAATTCTATGCGATTATTATTATGTAATTATTATTATTCACTCGTTAATGGGATCGCTGAACAATCCTCAAGGGTTCCGACTTCCCCTCGAATACCGCCCAGCAAGCTAAGCGATACAATTTTTTGGACTCTGCAGAATATTTATTCTGATTTATAGCATTGTCGGGGCCGGTGTGGCAGTTCTGGCGATTCCCATGGCTCATTCTTTCTACGTCCTGGTGTGTTCGGTTGGAATGTACGGTTTATGCCTGGGTTGCTGGTTCTTACTGGTGCCAGTGTTGTTGGCTGATCAATATGGGGTGGAGAAGATATCATCGAGCTATGGGCTTGTGAGGATGTTTCAAAGTGTTGGAGCTATCTCCATTCCACCTCTCGCAGGTAATGTACAATAACATGATTAATCTGTCATTGAAAAATCTACTTTAACTTTATTTCGAGGAAACCGGTTTTGCCTTGAAATGGGATATGTAGACTAGAAAAAAATTTTGAGTGATAGACCTTTCAAGGTTTTGTCGGAAAGGCCTTCTGATCTGGAAAATCTCGAAAGTGAGAAATGGTTTTACTATTCTGACACCCCTGGAAAACAATACGCGCCCAGTTCTAGTGTAAAGGAAAGGAACCGTACAGACCATGCACCTGACAATATCGTCTCAAAAATAAATTCATAGAATAGTACGGAATAATTGAAAATGAGACAGATCGGTGACCGATTATCAATGGAACACGCTCATCTCAGTCGCAACGGTTTGCGCATTAGAGACGCTGAAGTGCACGTTGTCATGCGCAATTGTTCAGCTCCTATAACTTCACTGAGATGTCAACCATTCAGAGTTGCATAATTTCGTGGGGGTGGAGGAATCAATAATCAATACATTTGACGGGGGCCACGTGGAGAGTGTCGCTAGGACAGCTGTGACAGTTCATCTACTGCCCCTGATTATAACATTTTCCGTAAAAGGGCAAGGCGATGCATTTTCTTGATTTAGTCATGAGGGGACGGCAACTTCAAATGTTCAGTCGTATCGTTTCATTGTCACGCATATTTGGCCACTTTCGTGGCCAAACAGGTCGTCATGAAGTTCTCTGAGGATTTCATTAGATAATTTATCGTTTTTTTTCAAATTTCTGAAATATTTTCTACAGCAAAAAAATCAATGGATTTTTGTTTCTATATGAATTATCCACTTGAGATTTTTTTTGTGTAAAAGTTCTTGGGAATTTCTGTGAGAAAACAATGTATAGGATTTTCTTTCTGTCGATTTCGATTTTTTATGTTACTTATTCTGCTGGAATTTTTTCTATGAGAATTCTTAGACATCAATTTCCCCCGTTTTTTCATGAATTTTGCGATGAGGAACAGCATAACAAGTGGAAAAAAATTGCAAAATTTGTTTTGAAAATATTTTTCACGTTTCTAAATTTTTGTTCTTAAAACTTTTACAGAAGAAACCTCAACAGAGTAATTCGTACAGAAAACCAAAACCTATTGATCTTTTTGTAAAGAAAAAATTGATAAAAATTTAGGATCGTCAAGATAATTGAATATTTAAAAGCAGGAAGAATCTGTTTACTCACTTCAGTGAAGAATTGTTCATCGAACATTCTCGCACCTTCCAATAGCGAGAAGCCCTAGTCAATATCACTAGCCGCACGAGCCACACACAGCAATCAATCAAAGCTTGCCCTCTTGTCTATACTGTACTATATTTACGGCAACGTCTCCTCTGAAACTCTTCATCGATTCCAGACCCCCCGGTGTTATCCTATTTTACGCTCCAATGATATTTATTCCGCGAAGGACAACCCGAGTGCAATTGGGAGTCCTCTGGAGTGAATAATTCAGATGATGAAATTGACTGGGAGAGGGTTGAGACGGCGGGGCTTCGGGCAAATAACAATTACGCAGACTGATAATATCAATTTGAACGGAAAATAGATTGCATCGGAACATTTAATTTTCATTTTTTAATTTTTATTGCTTCCGAGGGGAAGCATTGTGTTGTATGTGACCGATCGTTTTTCCACGATAACTAAAAAAATTATTTTTTTAATGAATGCAGTTGTGATCTGAAATATTTCTCCAATGCCATCTCGATCGAGTTTGAGTTGTTGAAAAAATTTATTTTGTAACCAATATTCAGGGAAAGGGAAAAATTTTAACGTTGAGGCAATGTTCGCTGCCAACATTGGGATAATGTTGGCTGCCAACGTTGGGAGAATGTTGGCTACCGACGTTGGGGCAATGTTGGCTGCCAACGTTGGGGCAATATTGGCTGCCAACATTGGGACAGTGTTGGGTACCAACGTTGGGACAATGTTGACTGCTAATGTTGAGGCAATGTTGGCTGCTAGCGTTGAGGCAATGTTGGCTACTAACCTTGGGACAATGAATTCAGTGAATCATTTCATGCAATTTAAAATACGTCGTCATAAAAATTCCATTCGGAAGCAAATTGCTAATTAATTAGCAAAAATATATTAACTGTGCTATGAAAAAAGCAATTTCCCACTTGTTTTTAATCAATTGATTTTTTGAAATGACGATTTTTTTAGAGACTTGAAATGTATGTGAATTCACTCAATCGTACACAAAAGGAGGGAGAGTTTTATCTAGGTCATTTTACGGTCTCGTCTGCATCTTTTTTTCATCATCATCATCCCTGCTGGACTCGAGATTCTCCACTCACTCTCGACCACTCATTTCTATTTTTATAGTCTAGAGTAAATGAAAACATCCTCTTGGTTATTCTTTGGGGTAATGAAAAAACAAAAACAACGTGAGGAGTGGCCCTACAATTTTATTAGGTGTGGGTGGAAACAGATCTTTCGCATTCTATGCGAAACGATTTCAGAAATTCCCCGAGCTGTTTTACAAGGACTTCTACAGCAATTCAGTCTCGAAAGGTTTACGCGAACGAGCGGAAATTGTTCATGAGAATTCTGAGCCTTTGAAGATGATTTTGTTCATATCCCGGGTATTTTAATGCGAAGATATTCATAAAAATACGGATGAAAGATTTCAACAGAAAAACAGAACGCATTTAGTGAGAAATTCTTTTGGAATTCCGTTGGAAATTCCATGAATTTTTGTTGATTTCTACTAATGTTCAATTTTCCCCCTTCCCTCAGTTTTTGTAGAATTATCTGTAAGCAATCTGTGATCGAAAAACATTGATAGATTTTGGTTTTAATATTCAATGTTTTCTATTGATATTTTTTGTCTCGCACCACGGAATTTAAATTAAAAAACTTGGTTTTTTACTTTATACCAAAGGATTTTTTTCTATGAATATCCATTCATAGAAAAAAGTATCAAAAAAATGGATTGTATCGAAAGATTACATTTAAATCGAAATATATGGATTTTTCGATCAAATATTGTCCACGGAGTTGCGTAAAAAAAAATGAATGAAGAATCAGCATAGATTTATGGAATTTCAAGAGAATCTCAGTCGAATTCCAATAGGATTTCGATCAATCTGCCTACGCAGAACACTGGGGTCTGCTATTGGATTTTTTCCACGACTCGATTTCCCTAATACGAAATCAAAATACCTCAACAAAATCTCAAGAGACCTGAAATCCTCAGGGGGGGTGGTCTCTACAGAATTCCCAACAAAAAATCCTATAAAAAAGTCGTATATTTTTGAGCTAGTTCCCTTCAAGGCGCAATGGGTGAGTGAAAGCACCCTATCATCCTCGATATCTCGCCGACTCACCCTCATTACAAAGAGATAAAATGAACCAACCGCATTCACTTGTATTTCTGGAAACGTAATCGATAGAACTCCGGTTTCTAGTGCAAGGTCAGCTGTCGACAGCTATATCCGTAAGGCGTCTATCATAGCCAAAAAGTATTTTTTGTCAAATTGTATTTTTCGCTGCCAAGTTCACCTCGTGACGAAGTGATAAACGTATCTCCCAATTGATCACCTGTTAAATTTTCATATTACAATGAATGATTTGCTCATGTTCTAATTCATATGCTCAATGAATAAGAGTTTAATCATAATTACAATTCAATTCCTTTTAGAACACACTTTAGAGTGTGAATTTCTGAAATTCAATGTTTGTTGATACTCTGGTAAAAATGCGTGCCCACATTGTTATCAATTTTTAGTTAGTTCACACTTTAATTCAATTAATCTGTTGTTCATCTCATCAATATAATTGCGTGCTTAGAATATTGTGATCTCGTATTTTCAGCACCAAATTAAAAATTAAACCTTCATTTGGAATTTTGAGTCACAGCTTCTTTTTATTCACATCAGAAATTTTGTATTTGGATATTAATATTATTTGTTCAAAGTGAAAAAATCGATCATCATTGTCCCTATATTGCATTCAGATTCTCCTCTCCTTAACGTCAAAAATGTGAGATAATCTCATAATTCTCGCTATTAATTCTAATCAACTTCGTTCGAAGAAAACCTTAGTAAACGCAATATTAAGAAAGTAGAATTATTCTGTTTTACTCTGACCCAAATTATTTGGACAATTATGATTCGTTTATTCATGTTTTACAGAATAGTATTCCATTCTATTCTGTTTGTTAGGCGGGCGCATTACTTCCTCCATTCGTTCGAGATATTGCCAATAGTTTTTTTTATGAAGGAAATCCCTTTTTTCGAAAGAGTAATTTAATAGAAATATTAAAGTGAATGGAAACAGATTATTATGATAGAAAACGGCCCAATATTCAGGAAGAGGTAAAAAAAATTGAACCTTGAGGCAATGTTGATTCTCAGCGTTGAGACAATATTGGCTACCAACGTTGGGGCAATGTTGAATCCGATTCATTGAATTAAATTTAAAATACATCGTCATAGAAATTCCATTCGGAAGCAAATTGCTAATTTGAAATATACAAAAATATATTGACTGCGACGTGAGGAAAGCAATTTCAGCTCGTGTGATTGGCAGCCCTCGGCTTCGCCTCGGACTTCCAACTTCACAAAAATAAATAAATAAATAATCTAGCAAACTAATACGCAAAATGTTTTGCAATAAAATAGCAAAATAATACCTTCTTCTCTATTTCATTATGTTTAACGATTTTAAATCGTGTTTTCATTTTATTTTCATGAGGTAGTGGTCATCGTCAAACGCTGCAACATCTAAACTCTTTGTTTTACCCACTCACCTGTGCATCAATTAATGGAAATTAAATTTCAAAGTTCATAGTTCAGCGTTCATTTCATAAACAAATTACCTTGTTTCAGGTTACCTCAGGGATTTAACAGGGAGCTACTCAGTTTGTTTCGTGTGCATGGGCACATGCATGGTCCTCGGTGGTATACCCCTCCTCGTTGTGCCCAGTGAACCACGAAAACAAACAATAACAGCAAAATTATCCGTGAATTTACCATCAGATACTAAGGAAACATCGGAAACAACAAAAAATTAGTACCTCAGAGCAGATTAATATAATAAAATTCATGTTGTTGATGAAAAAAAAGAATTACAGAGAAATTAAAACAATAATATAAAATATGATTAATATTGTCTGAGACCGAATGAGATTGATGACGCAAGAGGGTGAAAATGTTGATTGATTTACGAGTTATTGATATATGTGCACACGTTTTAAAATCAGTTGAGAAATGGTGAAACGAATAGATATGGATCTTTGAAAATTGCGCGCACGAAAAAATTTCATTGAAAAAACTTGCGAATCCATAAGACAATTCTATTGGATTTCGCTTGAAATTTGTATTAGTTTTTAATATAAATATTCTATAGAAAATGCAGTGGAATTCGATTTTTCTACACAACTTATTCCACTGAGATATTTTCTGTAGAATTTCCTCGGCTGAAATTTTCCATTTCTCATTCTATTTTTCTTCTCTTTTCATCAATGAAGACAAACAAACAAACTTGGAAAATTTGAGCCAAGGAAATTATATAGAAATTATCTGAAAAGCAGAGAATAGAATTGAAGCAATTTATTATTTCCTTGAGATACAAAAGATCCCCTAGCGGAAAACCAAAATATAATGAATTATTTACATTATTATCACTTTGTTTTCGTTTAATTTTCACCGTAGATTAGTTTGCATGCGTTACTTAGTTCAATAGAATAAGACGTCTCACAGAATATTCTCGATTGAAATTTTTGAATAAAATCGGCCGGAAACTAATGGAAAGTTCAATAGAAATTCAGTAGAATTGTCTAGCGAATTCGCTAGGTATTTTCATGAAAATTTTTTATACGTGGATCTGGGAATTTAACGACATTTTTATCAAATTTTTATGTTTTTGCAAAAAAAATGAGAGAAAATATGGATAAAAATTCAATAGGAAATTCTAATCGAATTTCTATCAGGTGTTAACAGAAGCATATTGCTAATTTATTAGCAGAAAACTATACTATATTAATATAAAAGCAATTTCCCACTTGTTTTTATCTCATCAGAAGCTAAATTCAACAGAATAAGGATTTGATTTGTCCCTATAAAATGATCTATTGAAATTTTATTTATAAAAATGTTTCGTTATGAATTCTTCCTTTTTTTAAATGTATTTCCCTCCATTTTTTATTGAAATATCGAATAAAAAACTTGAAAAATTCATGTTGAGAAATTTTTGCCCAAAAAAATCTCAACAGATAATTGTTATAAACAAATTGAATTATAAATTTGAATTTTCTTTTTGCAAAATATATATTATTTCTAATACAATTCCATTTTTTGTTCAATTTTCATTGAATTTTCTCAGTTTTTTCTCATGAAAATATTATTAAATTCCAAGATATCAATGAAAACCTAAAAAATCAATGCAATGTATTTCCTTTCACCAATTCACTACTGAAATTATATTATTTTCAACTGTCCAATTAATTCCCTCGAGCAAATGGTAAATTCTTAAACATGTGCATGAGACTGTGATCATGAAATCGAGCGGAGAACGAAGGCATAAGAGAGTACAAGGGGATAAACAGCAAGTTATCCCGAAAATTCAAATGTAAGAGTTAGAATTCGTAACGGAATAAGTGATGTATTTTCCTGGTACTGTAACAAATTTGATGGAGAAGCACTGAGTTCATCTTTTTACGACGACGATACATTACAATCTATGATTTATGAATTTCTACTTGATTGAAATAAATTGAGTGATTGATTTATCGATTACATTACTCTGAATCTCTCGCATTTTGTCATTCCTCTGGATTCATAAGATTAAGATTGAGGTAATCAATGATGCAGAAATAAACGATTAATTGATCATTTCGAATTGTGGTGGCATCATTAGTGTAACAAAAGAATGTGAATTCTGAGTTGGAAGAGAGTATTTTTCTTAACCCCGGATTTTCCTGTTCAGTTCCATAATTTATTGTTTATTAATTCAATCGTGGGAGAGGTCTTACCGAATTAATTGTGGACTTCTATTCTCGTTTTATTTGTATGAGGAATTCCAATAGTGAAATTCAATGGATCCTATTTTCTTCAGTTGATTTAGTAATGGAGATTAGACAGGATGAATAAAACAAATAAAAAGTAAATTAAAAAACCTAGCGCTTTTTTGCGGAATTCTATTCAGAAATTCAGTTTTTTATAACGATTTCCATTGAAAATTACGGAAATTTTATTTTTCAAGATCTCTTTGGTAGAAGAAATCAACAGATTTTTATATTTCTGCATAAATTCAATGGATCCTATTTTCTTCAGTTGATTTAGTAATGGAGATTAGACAGGATGAATAAAACAAATAAAAAGTAAATTTAAAAACCTAGCGCTTTTTTGAGGAATTCTATTCAGAAATTCAGTTTTTTATAACGATTTCCATTGAAAATTACGGAAACTTTTTTTTTAAAGATCTCTTTGGTAGAAGAAATCAGCAGATTTCTATATTTCTGCATAAATTATTCTTTTGAGATTTTTTAAAATTATAATTCTTGAACATAAATTTTTTATCTTTTTTTTTGCATAAAGATTGTGAATTTTTATTTTGTGGCGCTTAGGAGTATGGGAAAAGAAACAGAATATGTTGCGTGGGGAAAAACTGGAGAGAGCATTTAAGAAAAACAAATATGCGAGAAACCGGAATGAAGGAATAAGAAACCGTAAAAACCGAAAGGTATACGGTGAAATGAAATTTAAAAAAAATAAAGATGCGAAATTCTTCAACAGAATCGTTCAAAGACCAATCGAATATCAACAGAAGATCAATAGAATTCTACCAGAACGTTTTAGAGAATTCCCTAGGTTTTTGTATGATTTTCTTTCGTGCGTATTTCCAGTGCAAAAGGTACTGCCAGCCACCCCTTCAAAACACACTCTTCACCCCGTGACCGAGTCCTCCCTCCGGAAGAGGATAAAACTCCGCCAGATAATCCCAGCGAGTGGCGCCTCGTCCCCGACGCTCCTGAAAATCACGCCCCATGTACCCCTCAGACCGCACGACCATCCCGTGATCATCAAGGAAGGAATTCCCGATGCCTGGCTGCAGTACGCAGCCTTGAAAGACGTCTGTCGACCTCCATCCCTCAACAATATCCAGTACAAAGTCCCCTGTGACAACATGAAAATCACGGACACTCTTCTGAAGGAATTCGGAATGTCCCTCCAGCAGGGAATCCCCGATCCTTTCAAAATCCATGAGCTGAGGTATTTTTTTCGAAAACGATGTCACGCAGGAATTCGTCTTTTTAAAAAATTATGTAATGTTTTTTGGCAGCAATCTATTCCGACATGCTTGACTTAGGATTACACGCACGAAAAAATTTAATAGAAAAATCTATCGAATTCGTTAGGAAATTCTATTCAATTTCTGTCAAACTTTCTATTAGTTTTTAGCTGATTCTATTGACATGGTCAGTAGAAAACATTTAATAGAAAAAGTCAACAGAATTCGATTTTTCTATATAACTTATTCTTTTCATATATTTTCTATAGAATTTGCTCGACTCAAATTTTCCAAGTTTTTTTCATTCTATTTTTATTTTTTTCTCATCAAGAAAATCAAAAGAAAAAACTTGGAAAATTTGAGCCGAGGAAATTCTATAGAATTTTCTAACGAATTCGATAGGTTTTTCTATTAAATTTTTTCGTCCGTGTATTTCCATCCTACACCTGAATATCTTATATATTGATAAGAAAATATTTAAAAATATAATAAAATAAATATAAAATATATAGTATACATATATATTTTATTTTATAAACCAAATATATATATATATTAATATACATTTATTATATATATATTTTTTAAAATAAAATGTTAAAAAAACATTATAGCATAAAAAAATTATTATTTGTTCTTTTCATCTCATTTTTTTCCATTTTAACAAGTCATGAGTCATCTAATCCTCCTATTATTTTTTCAATAGAAATTTCTCGGCTCAAATTGTTCACTTATTTTCGTTTGATTTTTTCAATGAAAAGAGGAAAAATAGAGCTGGAGAAACTTAGAAAACTCAAATCGAAATATTCCTATAGAAAATGTATAGAAAGACGAAATTCTACAGACTTTTTTAAAATGAAATAGATTTTATTAGACATTTTCTACTAAAAAATGGACACGGAAGCTGCGGAATTCTTCAAATTAAAATCGGCCGAAACCCGATAGAATTTCCAATAGAAGTTCAACAGAAATCCAATAGAATTTTCTACCAAATTCTCTAGTTTTTTCCACAATTTTTTTTGTGCGCAACCATCACCATCATTTCTTCCCAGACGCTGGAAGCGCTCCCCGAGCCCCGAAGACACCCCCCGAAAGCCCAAAAACCCGTCTCAAAGCAGTCGTCACGACCCCGAGGGCCGTCCCCCCGCCGGCGACCGCGGAACTCCAAGAATCCGACCCCAAGAAAAACGGGAAATCCCCGAGGAAAAACAGCACCACCAACGCGACACTAAACCCAACGAAGACAAGAACCCCCATGACAACACCAAAACTAAAGATCAATCCGACAAATTAAACGAGAGAGTCGCGCACATCTGTGACTCGTCCCCATTCTCTCCAGAGGGAAGAAAAACGGGAAAAATGGAGTTCTCCAGCTGCAGGGGCTGCCCCCGCCAGACCAAAGTCGGAAGGATGATGAAGGGGATCTTCAGGAGATGCAGAAACACGATGAGGAGCATCTCCAACAAGTCATCGGTCGACGTCGACGTGAACTTCGTGTGCTACCGGTGCAACTATCCCTGTTTCAGGATCTGCAAGGTCGAGGGCTGTTCGCAGCCAGCGAAAATCTCCGGGAAAAAAATTATTTTCGATCGTCCAGACGACGCCGAGGGTCTCCAGGGGATGGGTATGAGGAGAGTGAATATTTCTCGTGGTGATAGTGCGACGAAATGTGAAGCAACCACGAGGAGGCATAAGCGAGCAGCGCGGAAATCTAGAGCCGATGATCTGAATGATAGTGAGGAGCTCAGTGTGACTTCCGCCACTTCCGCTGTCGATTCCGTTCGTACTGACTCATTTGTTGACGTTCTTGAGAGAAAATCGAGCGATAGAGGGAACATCCCCTTCGAAGGGCGTTCCAAGGACGCTTTGAACTCGAGGGATTCATCGGAGAGACTGAGGAAGTACATTTACGAGGTTTTTCCTCCAGCTCTGGAGTCGGTGTCCTCTGGGGATGATAAGGAAGAGAGGAAGTGGGCGGAGAAGTTCTTCACGAGGGGTGGGAGCCACCAGATTGATGAGAGGAATATCGAGAATGCGGGGAGAGAGGGAATGGGTGGGAGAGAATCTGAGAACTCGAGTCTTCGGACTGAATTCCCGGAGGAACGCAGGGGCTACAATAATTTCAAGCTGTAGAGTTGTGTTCTTGAGGAAATAGAAGTGACTGCGGGTGAGGGGAATGTCACGCGTGGTGATGGATATGGAAATGCTGCTGACTACTTGTCGCAATTTTTCGATCACAGGAGGAAATTGGTGGGGGATTTTTTGGAGAGCAGGAGGCGATTGGGTTTAGAGGAGCCCGGAGATGTTGAAGTTCTTTATGGGAGGGATCCGGTGGGGGGAATTGATGGGAACAAGTCGGGAAGATCGTCGGGGAATGCTTTAGTTATTGACTCGTATTCGGAGGGGTCCAAAGAGTCTGTTACAAGTCGTAAAAAATGAAGAAAGAATAACAGGCGTGTATAAATTCAATGGAAAAATCCTAGCCATTTTTCCCAGAAGTTGTTTAAAATGTCTATTGGAATTCTTTTAAAAATGCTATTAAAAATATAAAAATTCTGGAACAGTTGGGAAATCTCATAGAGCCAATGATTTGAATGGGTCGTTATAAAAAATAAAGAGATGAACACGCACGAATAAATTCACTAGAAAAACTCAGAAATTTTCCCCAGAAATCCTTTAAAATTTCTATTGGAATTAAATTAAATGGCAATCACAATCTTTGACTTTATCGGTGCGAAAAAATTCCGTAATAAAAAATTCGTCAGCATGAGGTGAGATAAATTTATTGAACTTGTGCTCAAACTGATCTTCCTACGGTATGAGGTACATAAATATATCAAAAACCATTCGTTCGTTTATTTTGTCAAAATAAAGCTGTTCTCACGCTGGATAATCTCGTTATTCTCGAACCACTGTGATCATCTTGTCCTCGAACACCAGATCTGTTCGCGATGGATACACGAGCTTCATGTTCCCCTCGAGATCGACCCCCTTCACCTGTTCAATCTGCAATTTGTGGTACTGTTGAGGAGTTTCCTCGTTGTTCTGGGGTGTCGCAATACCGAGTGGCAACAGCTCCTTCAGAAAATGATCCATAACATTTCTGAGAACGAAGAGAAAAATGGAGAAAATAAAATAATGCATAATCGATTGAATAATTCTCAGCCGTATGTAAAATTTCAGTGAAGTATGCTTCAAGTTCAGAAGCAAAAATACCTGCAAATCTGCTGGGAAGTGCTACTGGTCACCTCCACGAACATGTTTTTGGTATTAGTCGACATTTTCGTAATCTCACTGTTAGTGATTGGAGGGAGAGATATGACTTGATCGGATGCATCGAGGAGGCAAGGAAAGACCGGCTTTCCTTCAATCAGGTACAAGTATCTGTGAATTCCAGAGTAGACATTCCTCTTCTTCTCCCTTCTCAGATTATCAGCTTCGGTCTGAAGCTGCTGGAATAGAGCTGCTGCTGAGTAGGTTTTACTCCTGTTCAGGGGCTTTATTTTCAGCTCTTTGGGTGGCTTTGCTGTGTACGTCAGGTCTCCTACGAGAAAAATAAATTATTTCTATTAATTGAATACTCAATAGGAACTAAACATTCGTGAAGTGGTGACAGGAGATGAATCGGTGTCACTTGGAGAAAATTATGTATTAAAAAAAATTCTCTCGAGATCAGTCAATTTATCTCATTTTATTTTGCAATAAAAATATTTTAAAATCGCGAAAATTAGGTAAATTAGGGAAATTAATCAAGAGATGAATAAAATGAAATGATATTAATTGGAATGAATTGAATTTTTAGCAGGATTTTCGAGTAAATCCCCTTTGTGCTATTGAATTTATGTATAAAATGAATGGTTTTTCGATTGATGTGTCCATTAAATATCAAAAATTAAACAATTCATCGTGAACAGGCAAATCCAAATGTATCACATTTTTTTCACTGTATTTTTTTATTTATTTATGGTAATGATTATTCTCCTAATCCAGAGAAAAAAAAATTAAAAAATTCATACTCATAAATTTTTACAGAAAAAATCTCAACAGATCAAGTGATATAAAAAAATGAACATCTATAGACTTGTTTCAAAAATCAAAGCAAAGTTGGATAATTTTGAATAGAATTGGTGCAAAAAGAAATAGAATTTATCAATAAAAGTCTACTAAAACTCCAATGAAATTCTCATAGAGTTACAATAAAAATGCAATGGATGTTCTTCGAGTAAATCTATCTCATAAAAGACAGTAAAATACGGAAAAATGAACAAAATTAAATAAAATTAATTGGAATAAATTATTGTAGCAAATGAGTTTTTTTTTAAAATTCATGTGTCAAATAAATGACACGTGAATCCTAACAATCCGTTAGTATCCGACAGCACTTACGCACCTACGTTTGCTGTGAGGTGCGATTCCTCAGGAATCGGATGGAATAGGTTAAAAAGCTGTATCTCTCATAGTTTCCGAGATAATCGCGAAAAACGAAAGTGCCATCGCCAAAAAAATAATTTAATTTATCTTGTAT